AATGAATATAATAGAAAAGATGAACAGCTTGATCATGTATTTAAAATGAGTTGTTCCCTAATGAGTTCAACACAGAACCGCTTTTCATATCTGCTACAAGATTATGCAGCGGAAATGCGCAGTGTAGTTGTCGAGGCTCACAGGCACGAGAACTGCTGAAAACGGGGCTTAGACCCATTTCGGTCGACATCGGTGAGCTCTGCCTAGCAACTCCTGACGCCTCGAACCTTTCGGTCCGAGGACTTTCCATCGGGTCCACAACACCTCTCCTGCGCACCCCGCAGGAGAAGCGGACCAACCCCTCGGGGACCATGGGGTTCCTAACGGGTCCCTACTGCCTCCCGCAGCTCCCGGGTCAGAACCAAGGCGCCAAACCCTTGCCAACCATGGCGCAAACAACATACACAATGAACACATGGAATTAGGGCAAAACCCACATGAACATAAATACAACATATGAAACAATATATTTATTATACGCAGTAACTCACCATCACCTCTGATCTCCCTCGGCCACCTCGCTCAAGGGCAGACCAGGCCAGCTGACTGCACGTATTAGACCCCCATCCCGCTCGGGACCATTTCTATGGGCACCTTACGGTCGGCGTGTCCTCGCTGGGGCATGATGACAGGCTGCTCCCAGGGGGAGCAGGGGTGGAACACGACCGGCTTTACGGCAGGCGCTCCGCCGACTTGGACTCAGGGGAGACGTTCCCCTCGCCTTGGATCGGCCTCCTCGCGTTGCCCGGTGAAGATCTGTCACCGGTTACCAGCTCTTGGGTACAACGCATTCAAGCTACCCATTCAAGCAGGAGGACCTCAGCCGCAGAGCGATATTTCGGTGCCTAGCACCTTCGTCAGGTATTTTCTGTGAACCCTCAGACTTACCCAACGATAATTTCTCGTTGGGTAAGTTTGAGGGTTCTTTGAAGGCTTTTCGGAGGCAAACACGTGTGAGTTGGTCCAATATATCACGTATATTGTCCGGCTTCACTAAGAAAAGCTATTTCAGGCCTGACGAAGGTGCTAGGCACCGAAATATCGCAATAATTTTGGAAAGCTTTTGAGATTAAGTTCTTTTGAAGCTTTTTGAAATAAATTTTTGGAGCCTCGAATTGTTGTTCAACATTTAGATAATTTCATTCTGCTAACGCGTGAGCAGGCATGACCGAGTGGTTAAGAGGTTAGACTCATGTCTGCACCTCTGAAAACCGCCGATCCCTGCCGAGGCTAAACCATGCCTTGCAAAAATTGCAAAAATGGTTCTAGTACCAGCGTCAGGCCCAGGTTGACAGGCCGGCTGATGAAGACCCCAGTCACACCATGTCAAAAGTCGCAAAAGAATCAGTGTTAATGCTAGGACGTCACCCGGAAGTGGCGCGCAGAACCCACCGCCCGAGTTCTGTGGTCAGTATGCGAGGACTTTCAAGGGGGAATGGCCTCAATAATTTTCAAGAGCTTTTGAGATTTCTTATTGAAGCTTTTTGAGAAAAATTTCGAAGCCTGTTGTTCAACATTCAGATACCTATGAGGCTTCGGAACAGCACCATAATGAGAATGAATTTAGTTAAGAAAATAAGTTAGAAAATAGTACTTTGTCTCGCAGGCTTAATATTTTCTTGGAAATTTAGTGCATACCGACGAATTTTCGAGATTTTCGAGTATGACACTTTGCGCATAACGCGTTGTCAACAAGGTTCAACTCGCACAGATTGTCGTGGTCGAGGAAACCTTCTAGGCGAAGCCTCCCTGAGAACTCGCACCATATCCAGATGCATTTCCATATTCACTGCCCTTCAAAATATGATGTCTTGCAATCACCGTCGAGCTCAAAGAGGTCATCCACAATTGCTTCAGCCTGAGGCAGGTAAAGGCAGAATTTACCATGAAAAGTTAGATCATCGAAAATGAAGGTAGAGGTGGTCTCATCATCAGTAAAGTTTGGATGTTACCAGCTACTGCTTAGTTTCACCTATTAACACGTTGACGACAACGCGCGTTTTGGGTTTTTGCGCCGCGTGGGACCACGGCGATTTTGCAGGCGCCGCCGCCTCACATCAAATCCGTGAATTTTGAGCTTTAAATACCCAAAACTCGGATGCAACAAAATGTTTAGAATGATATTCGATGTGTCAAACTTATCAGAAGGGACAACTGTAAAAAATCGATCGAATTGACGTTTTCTGGCGATGAAAGGCAAGTTTCAGTTGCTTTTGCTGCAGTGAACCTCAAAATTATTTTTGACGCGGTTGCTCCACTAAAAACATATGTCTTGCTATATGTGTGGGTCTGTACTTACTTCTACTGCTCTTTTTTATGACCAAGATTATCAGAATATAAAGGAAACTAGGAATGAACACAATTGGGAAATTCGTAGGGCTTAGAAAACCTTCGCTAAAAAGGAGCATATTCAACCATTCAATGAACCTCGCCGTGTCTAGTCATATTATGGTGTAGTCTATAGAATAGATGCAAAAAATTAGAAAAGAAGTAGCGCATGCGCGAAAAAAATAAATATTTTGTGTGTGCAGCGCATGCGCTGCACACGGTCCCACACGGTGCTCAAGGTGTGATGCGCATGCGCTGCACAATGTCGTCAACGTGTTAAAGTATGAATTCTGTAAAGTGTGACTGAGGGCGCCTCAAACGTGGAATGAGGTGTCATCATTTTTTGGGCATCCTGTATATTAGTGCAGTGGTGAACTCACTGTCGGTAATCGGAGAAGATCTTATTCTAGCCTATTTTTCAGGCATATCGTAGCTGATGAAAAAAAATTTCGTTTTCTAATCCCGCATTTTGATAAAGCCGCGAGCTCAGCTTCCTTGTTCATTGCTTCACGACCCAACACTAAATTGATGAGAGACAGACGCTAAGGAAGTCAAGAGAAACGCAAGTTTGAGCAAGCGCTTCTGAAAAATGTACGACATTCTTCGAGAAAAAAAGAATGCAAGAAAGAGTTTTGACTGGTTTTGATTGTGATGTTTTCTGTTTCGAGTTTTCTAATGTTCCATCAACCTCAATAGAATGGCCTGTTTTGCTGCTGCACTCACTCCCCTTGCAAGAATATCTGTTGTTCCAATTCTTCCCAAGCGTTCTTGCATGCTACATTTACCAGGAGAGAAGAGGAGGGTGTGAAGTGCTCATTGAAAAAGGACCACAGTGCCTTGTTGTACAAATTTGGTCTTCTATTAGAGGGGTCAAAGATGATAAGTCAGTGAGTCAGTTTATTTTTTAGTTTGTTTACATATATCCTTTATCTGATAGGCAGTTGCATTCATTAGCTGATATAAAATAAGCCTATTCTAGAGTGACAAACTTTCTTTGGGAGCGTGCGGAGAATACGGCACTTATCAGGTTTTATGACTTGGTCAGGCTGGTTCAGAAGCTCCAGCTGATATGCGGGAACCGTTTCCTTCCTAACCAGACACTCTTATTATAAACCTGACCAGCGCTGCGCTATAACCATTTGTAGTTTTTTTTGCTTTCTTCTTGCCTTCTAAATTTAGTCACTGTAAAACCTGTCTTCATCTCACTGCTGAAATGAACTGCTCTTTCTATTCGAATATGCTGTTTCACTTGCTTAACGCATAGAATACAACAATTATTCCTTCCGCACGAGTATGTGTACTAGAAATGAATAAATATGTAATTTGCATTTCCTGCACAACATGCCAATTATTTATTCTGTGAGCCGAATCGAATTCTTAGCAAAAATATAACTCTCGACACTAATGCTCAAAAAATTTATATGTACATACATTGAGAAGTAACCTTCAAGAAAACATTAGGAAGAGGAGATCAGCAAATTCTTGAAGGCACATTCAAGTAGGAGAACAATTGAACAACTCCAGTTTTTACACATGACGCCAGGAGAAAGCTATGAACGTCAACATTGTTAAAGCAGCAAAAACCAATAAGCTTCAAGATTGAAGAGTCTCGGAAATCTTTT